ATTTGTGTATTTAATATTATACTTATACTAACAACTACATAAAACACTGAAATCAATAAAAACACAAGAATAAGATGACTGATAATGAGGTTGACAATAATATTAGTTTGTATAAAAATAATCATAATGAGGTTGACATCGATAATGGTAAGTTTCTTAAGGTTTATTTTGTAGCACAATATATAGCACAGCATATAGTTTAATTATTTATTTTTAAAAATAAATTATAGTTTTTTTAGAAGAAACATTTTATGATTTTTCTTTATTGAATTTTGGTTACACATTCAATAATTGGGATGATATTGATTTTTATTTCAAAGCATATGGGTAACAATTTGGGTTTAGTATTATCAAAAAAAGAGTTGAGCATCATAATAATAGTGTAATAAAGTATTAGTTTTTAGTATGTGAATTTGGAAGAACTTATAAACCTAAAAAAGGAATTAATATTAATAACCATTATAGCAAAAAATCCAAACACCAGAAATGTGAATAGTATATTAATTTAAGTTTTTCAAAAGATTTTACTTGTATTACAGTTACTATATTTACCAAAATCTATAATCATGAGCTTAATCTCAAGATCTGCAAATATAGCACCAAATTTTGGGCAATTGGAAAAGATATGTTAAATGACATTAAGTTTTATACTAAAAATAGAAATCTTTCAATTTCCATACAATGTAAGTTGTTAAGTGCTAAGTACCTGGATAGAATGTTCACAGATTCAGACCTAGCAAATGCTATTCAATATTTCAAAGTCAAGTTTCGAGACTATAGAGCAGATACTTCATATCTTTTGTCATTTTTCACTGAAAAACAGTCTGAAGAATCAGAGTAGATTGTTGAATTTGAATTAAACAATAACAATCGCCTTATTCGACTTTTTTGGATAACGTCTCAACAAGTATCCCTTTGGTTAGAATATTATGATATCATTCTCAATAACAATATAGCTAAGACAAAAATACTAAATGCTACTTAGCTTGTTCCTTATTATTGATAATAACATTAGGTTTTTTTTTTTTTTTTTTTTTTTTAATTTTTATAATAATAATAATGAAGTTGTCATATATTTATTACTAGGTCTCGTTTAGTAGCACAGGCATTAGTATCTAATGAAACTATTAATTCCTATGAATAAATTCTTAGATATACTAAAAAAGCTACAGGAGCAAAACCATTAGTTTTTGTAATAGATGCTAATTCAGCAATAAACAGTACACTCAAACAAGTCTATGAAACTACAGTGCAATTATATTGTATTTATTATATAAACTAAAATATCCCAAAGAATCTCAAGGCAGTATTGGGCAATATATATGATAATTTTATTAAGAAGTTTTTTCATTACCATAATACTTTGGATAATAAGTTATTTGAAGTAAGATAGAGAAGTTTATTATACAAGTTTCTATCTTCTGCAGCTTATTTGAACTAAATTCTTTATCCTAGTCACCATGTATAGGCTTGTGCTTTTACATTCAAAATCTTCACTGCTGAGATTCAAACTATATCGTGAGTAGAAGGATATAACAATATTATTAAACGTGAATTATATAGTAATAGCAGTTTATATAATTTAGTAAAAATCTTGGATTCCAGGCTTGAGAAAGAGGCAGAATGGAATCATTTTTTTGAATATCAGACATTATCTTTGTGTATTAGACTCATTTTAGTTGAAAGTGAAATGTTTCCTACTATAGATCAAATACTTTTAGAATATTTGATGCCACATATTTTATCTATTGAACATGTTGAAATGGCTTAGTATTTATATTTTAGTACAATATTAGCTAACTTAGAAATAATTGATTTATCTAATGAGGTTAGAATTTATATAGTTACAGGATAACTAGAACTCCAAAGATCTCTGATATAACTTAGATCTGAGTTTGTATAATATCAGCCAAATAGATGTATAAAATAGGCCAAAATTTAAAATTTTACTATATAAAAATGCAACGTTGATGAATTTCTATGCAAAATTTTCTTTTTTAGTAATCTCTGAGTTATATCTGAGATCTTCAGGGTCCTAGATAACTCTTTAAATAATTTCTAAAATTTTTTTTTTTATTTTTTAATAAAATTACAAAGTAATTTTGGTTAATTTAGTTAATTTATTATTATTATTAAAAAGAAAGTATTGAAGATAAATTTATTGAAGATATTTACAATTCAAGAAAAATTTTATTTAAATCAATAATATAAAAATTGATCAAAATAATATTCAGAAGGTCTGGCAGATTATTGATAAGTGACCAAGAAATAGTAAAAGGAATCATTTTGTTATTATTATAGATTCTGTTTCTTACTTATGTATGTGTATGTTTAATATTTCTCATAGCATTATATATCATCATTATTTTCAAGTAATATTAGTATCTCAAATTGCTGGCTTTAGTATTAGAATGGTGGTATCACATTGGTATCGTGATAACAAGAAGGAGATGACAGATTAATTAAATATAAATTTGTAAATAGGCATATAATTCAATATAATCAACCTGCACCAATAATTCTCTAACTATTCATTATACCTCACTCAGTAACAACAAATAATCGATATGCAGCAGTTCACTATTTCAAATATGGTAAAATATGGGGTCTTGTCTAGCAAGCTGCATAGCTTGCAATTGAATACGATAATAATGAGATAGCCCAATGGCTAAGAATATTTATTGAGCAAAAGAAATGTTTTTTAGAACATAATAAAGAAAATGAAACTCTGATTAATAAAATAGATAATAACATAAACCAAGCTATTTTAATAGTTGCTAATCCACAAGTGACAAAATATAAGGGCAAACCTGAAACTAAAAGATATAAAGCTGTTATAGAGAAAGCACAATAGCAACTATATGCTTGTCGTACTTGTGGTCAAAATAGACATAATAATATAAGATATGAGGGCAAAAAATATTAATTTTAATATATATATCATGCATATATAAGTTGTAATATTTAAAATTAATATAGATTAAAATAGCATTGCTGTTATTAATGAAACTGACTAAAGACTATATATCATTTATAAAATAAAATAAATTCTGTAATGCTTAATTATATAATTGATAATTCTATTATATTGTATATTATTTTAAATGTTTTGGTATATATTTAGATAAGCAATATTATTTTTTTCTAAAAATAGTAAAATATTTGCTTATTAATATTAGAAAATTCTTTACGAATCTTTTAGTCTATCTATCCTTTCTTGAAATCTAAATGATATTTATCATTTTGCTCTCAGTTCTCATGAATTTTTCTCGCTCTGATCTCTCAAGACACCATTTCAATATTTATACAAAATTTAATAACTATATCAATTTTGTTTAATCTCGTATGTTATATTATTTGAAAATTCTGAAACAAGTTTATTAAACAACTTATAAGAAATTAATGAATATTTGCTTCAAAAGTTAGTAATTGTTTCTTATAATTTTTATTTCACAACTATTCTTTGCACTAATTTTGTCTATCTTCTTTTTATAGTTTCTTATTTTCTTACTGTTTTGTTACTATATTAATCTATACAATTCCAAGTCCTATCTATATTGAATTATTCTTATCATTATCATTATTATCTTTATATACCAATCATATAGTATACATTTTTTATTTTTTTGTCTTGGACTTTAATACGCCACATTCTTGCTTCTTAAACCTTTTAACTTTTGAATAAGAATAATAATTCTTTGATGCACTTTAAGTTTTCATTAGCACTTACTATTATACAATGGCTAACCTTGATTTGTCTTATTAAATTAGGGTGAATGTATCA